ATAAATAGAAATGAGATCATTTAACAGACCTTATTTGACAGCTTGAAACTGAACAAGATAGAGAACAATGCTTATAACAGGGGGGAAAATAGTATACAAAACACCCATACACTCCAAATCCATCTATTCTCAATAGTTTGGACCCCAAGATCAGTTTTCAGGCATTCAGGGGTCCCATTCCACCTCTGCAGACACTCCTACTCTGGCTCTCACCCAGACAGCAGCGTACATTCATTCCGGCTGAGGGCTGCAAATAAACCTTCAGAGAGCAAGGGAGATGGCACCCTTGCCCCTGGGGCGACTTCTGAATTGGGGACCTTTATAGCCTTTTCTGCAAGCTAAAGATAAGGGGTATAGGGGAGAAACTTGCATTTCAAAGAGCATGTTTTAGAAAGAAAGAAACAGTTTTAGCATAGAACTGATGCTGTGTTCTAAAAAAATAAAATAAAAATCTATAACAACCAGAGTGTAAGAACATATTCCAGGCAGGCAGAAGCACGCAAAGGGAGTGCAAAGGAAGAATAGTGAGGTGTGGGAGGGGGGGAGAAGAGAGTGCTGAGGAGAGGGTGCAAACTGGAGGGTGGGACAGAGAGGCATTCAGGGCCACATTTGCCCATTGCACCTGAGCTTTCCGACCTCTGCACTAACAGATCTGGTAGCAGAAAAAAAGGCAAAGATTGTTGCTCAGCGCCAGACCATTTGCCTTGCATGCAGAAGGTTCCAGGTTCAATTCCCAACATCTCCACGTAGGGCTGGGAGACCTTCCTGAAACCCTGAAGAACCATCAGCAGCAGAGGCATTTTAGGAGCAGCAAAAATGATGTAGAATGGAGCACTAGAGGTGTCCCCTTCCCCAAATATTAGCATCACACTGCTGAAATTTGAGAGCCCAAAGTCTGCCACTGCTGCCGGCCTGTGTAGGCAATGGTGCGCTAGACAAACCAACAGGTTTGTCTCAGAATAAGGCCTCTTCCTATGTTGCTAGTATGAGACACCCTCCAATGCGGTGTTCTAAAGCACTCTTAGTAACGTAAGCCAGACTCATGTGCTTCATTAAACCTGCTGTTTTCAACCAGACTTGTCAACTGACATGTTTGCTATGATAATCTGCTTGGAAAATATACTGTGAGCCTGAGACTTGTTGCTTCCTTTAAGGGGAATTAATGTTGCAGGGATAATATTCACAGAAAAAAGTAAGATTACTGCCAGGGCTGTTTGTACATTGCTCTGCTTTAATCGTTTCCTCTCTTGCTTCTGGGTTTGGGAGGTTTTTTTTTTTCATTTTTTCAAGTTGCCCTAATTTTGTCAATTTTACATTCTCTATCAGTTTCAGTTAGGCCCTCTAAAATCTCTTATATTTGGCAACATATTTTATACTCCTTTCTTTTTAAGTGCAGTTTTGCTCTCCGAGTGAATTTTGCTAATGCATCCTTAGGGGTGATATTTTTAAAATCTGTTTCCAGCAGACTGGAGAAACTCCTCTGCCCCACCAATGACCTTTCCAAGAGGGGTCAAAAGAATCTCCCTAGTCAGGGATAATTGACTTAGCTTTGAATTTGCTTTGAATGCCCTTGGCAATATTCTCATGTTCCTAAATCTGACTGGCTGCATACTGTGGTGGCATCATCCAGTCTGATTGTCTAGCCTATTAATCATGCCATTCTTGATTGGCTAGGTTTACCCATGCCTAGAAGTTTGTTTTATTTATTAAATGTCTGCATCACCTTTCTTCAAATGACCACAGGGCAGTTTACAACATAGAACACAAATGTCCACTGCATATCATAATAACTATCCAACATAAAGATCAAAACAATCATAATAAGGAGAAGTACATAATAATATGCAGATTCCCTAACAAGAGAAGACAAAATAAAGGGAGGGGGAAATCAGTTTCAGGGTGTCTTAGAATACAGAAAAACAGTGCACAAATATAGAACCTTCTTTCTGTCCAAAGCCAGCTCTCAATACCAGCCAATGACAGGCCCATCCAGATCTCACCTGAGAGCTTTCTTCTCCCCACCTGGATCTTCACTTCTCTGCCTCTCACTTGGGTCCTTTCTCCATCTATCAGCCCCATGCACAAGAGTGCAGTCCCTGGCCCCCAATGGCTAGAAGGAACAAAGGACAGTGTCCTTTGATGTCTCCCCCAAGAAGTGACTCCCATCACTGGGCCAAATAGCTTAGTCGGTGGTAAAGCATGAGACTTAACCTCAGGGTTGTGAGTTTGAGCCTCATGTTAGGCAAAAGATTCCTGAGTTGCAGGGGGATTGGACTAGAGGATCTTCGTGGTCCCTTCCAACTCTACTATTCTGTGATTCTGTGATCCCGCTGCCTGCAGCAATGCCCAGCTTTTCTCTCCCCACTCTTCAATGCATCCTCAGTGTGAATCAAATCCAGTTTGCCTGTTTCTATGCAGCATCAGCCAATTAACACTGTTCTAAAATGAGGGTAATGATGGCAACTGAAAGAAGTGAAGAAACGGGGTTATTCACCCCCAGTGCTGAGAGACTGACTGCTGCTAACTCTCCCGTTCCATTAAAGCTGGGGAGCAGAGGGAGAGAAGTGAGGCAGGGCTGTTTCACCAGCTCTGCTGGGAGACCAGCTATCTCTGGCCTTCCCTCAACTGTCACGTAGTGGCATCCATTCCAGCAGGCTACTAGAAGCACAGCTCAGTTGGTAGCATAGCTCAGTTGGTAGAGCATGAGACACTTAATCTCAGGGTTGTGGGTTTGAGCCCCATGTTGGGCAAAAGATTCCTGCATTGCAGAGGGTTGGACTAGATGACCCTCGTGGTCCCTTACAACTCTATGATTCTATAATTCTAAATTTCATCCTAAGTGTCATTAAGAGAGTGGTGACTTTAAGAAGTGGTGCCAAAGCTTCCTCTTTTTCCTCCTTTCTACCAAATTTTGGTCCTAGTGTGTTATGCCTGAGTGCAGGGACTGTCTTATTACTAATTTTATTGATTTATAATGATGATGATGACACATTTATAAGGGGCAGATGGGGCTCGTCCACCTGGGAAGTTAGCCCATCTAGTTGAAGAAAAACTCTGATCCTGAATCTCCACTGCCATGTGGGATATCTTCTGGAGAATAAAAGCCTTAGAAGTAAACCTTACAGAAATCCAGGGTGCCTACCTAATGGTGCCTTGTTATGCCTCCTTCTGGCAACTCCTGCAGCCAGTCTGGTGCCAGACATCCTGCTCTGCTTTTCTTTGGACCCCGTCAGCAAGGCCAAGAGAGCTGTCTTGTCATCCGAACAGCCCAGGACCTCCATACAGCCTGCCCAGGCTTGTGCCCCAAGCCTGCTTACATCAGTCTGGCTTCACCCTCAAAGGCATACTCCATTGTCCAGTGTGGTGTAGTGGTTAAGAGTGGTAGACTCGTAATCTGGTGAACTGGGTTTGTTTCCCCGCTCCTCCACATGCAGCTGCTGGGTGACCTTGGGCCAGTCACACTTCTCTGAAGTCTCTCAGCCCCACTCACTTCACAGAGTGTTTGCTGTGGAGGAGGAAGGGAAAGGAGAATGTTAGCCACTTTGAGACTCCTTAGGGTAGTGATAAAGCAGGATATCAAATCCAAACTCTTCTTCTTCTTCTCTCAAGACAGATGGATGCCAACATTTCTATCCCGTTGTTTGGCCAACCTGGGCTTACGACGTTTGAAAACATGATTATAAAATATATAGTAATAAAAACAAACATGTTAAAAGCAATTGTCAAAACACAGTACAACACATTTAAACCAGTGTTAAAGAATAACAGCCTAGTGGTCAGCTTTGCAGCTTAGTTTTCAAAGCTCAATAAAGTTCATAGTAGAACCAGTGATATTAATGGACCTGGCTATCAGGTCCTTTCATTTCAGTGGGTCTATTCAGTGTAAAACTCTTTTGGTTACAGCCATCTGTATTCAGAGACTGTATACTTCTGAACACTGACCGCTTGCGAGAATGACAGAGAGGAGCTATTGTCTTCATGCTTTTTCATTGGGCTTGCTAGAAACATTTGGATGGTTAGAAGTAGAAATATGGGAGAAATCTGATAAAATTTCACATTTAAAGCTAAAGTTGCCACATCTGCAGCATTGTCTCTACTGACTGGCAGCAGAGGAGGAAAGCAGCAGAAAGGCAGGGAAAGTAACTGGTTACCTGTTTTCCTGCTCCCCATTTGTGGAATGCTCTCCCCAGGGAGGCTAGCCTGGCACCTTCACTACATATCGATCAAACAGCCACAGTTCCATCAACACAACAGGGGTTAGAATTCAAGACAAAAGCACTATTGCTGCATTCAGGAAAGCTAAGGTGATAATCCTCATATCTGAATACACCTTTAGTGAGTTTCATGTATGCAAACTGAGTGGGAATTTGAACCCTGAGCTCCCACGTACTCAAAGCCCAACACTTTAAACACCACAGTAAGCTGGCTGCTGTGGCAGTGAACTTTGTGAATCAATTCTACTTTTTTGTATGTGTTGGGGAAATGCCTTTTTCTTCTCCACATCACCTTCATTGGCATCTGAAAAGGTTTATGCGCAGTGGTCCTGCAGTGACAGCATTTACTCCCAGTGTTCATATCAGAAAGGAGTTTTTCTTCATAAGAAAATGTAGAGAAGGAGGCCTCATATTTTTCAGAGAGAGATGGGGAAAATAGAGGATCTCTTCCTATCATTTCTGTTCTTCTTTAGTAGGTCAAAGCAGGCAGCCGATTACCTTCCAGTGCTGCCTTTGCCTTGGGAGTCTACTGAGGTCTGACAGTGATGTCTTCTAATTGTTGTTTATAGATGACACAAGACATCACACTCCTTTCCCCCTCCTCATCCTAGTTTTGTTCTGAAAACCTGCTCATTGTGCTTACTCCTCTCTTTCCTTATTTTATTCCCTGTAAAATGTATTTCCACCAAAAGAAGGAAAGACAGAAAATCCTTTCATGTGGGTTTGAGGAAATGTCACTGTATTGACAATGCTCTATGATGCTTGTTTCTGTTTTTGCTTTAATAGGGCAGAACCCAACAACAGTTTCTTACACAAGACTGGCTGGTTCATGCAGTGGACGCTCAGGAGAATGGAAGGCACCTGAAGCAAAGAAAGAAAGAAAGAAAGAAAGAAAGAAAGAAAGAAAGAAAGAAAGAAAGGGAATTTCCCATGACTTTCTGGTCCCAGTCTGGGAAGCTAGGCTTGTGCACATGTAAGACCAGTTCTGTATTCCCCCGCCTCTTTAAATAAAGAACTAGGTGTAAGAGGCCACATCTGCACCATGGATTTAAAACACTATGACACCACTTTGAGTGCCGTGGCTTCCCCTAAAGAACTGTGGGAACTGTAGTTTGTAAGGGGTGCTGAGAGTTATTAGGAGACCAACATTCCCCTCGCAGATCTTCAAATCTCAGAGTTCCCTGGGGAGAGGAACTGATTGTTAGTGCTTTGAAGGGAATAAGTGTACCCTAGCAATTCCCAACAATCTTAACAAACTACAGTTCCTACAATTCTTTAGGAAAAGCCATGATTGTTAAAGTGGTATCATGGTGGTTTTAATGCATAGTGTAGATGTGGCCAGTTTAAACCTCAGACTGCTTGCTGCTGTAAAGGGAAGGAATTTTGATGTATTTATTCATACAGTATAAGAACACTTAAATATTTGATATTTAGGTTTTAGAGATGATATGTATATATTTTTAAAAGAAAAAGAGGCTGATATTTAGCATGTTTTCCCCCCCGCAAAAAGATATGATGGAACAGAACGTTAAAGTTTCATTTTAGAAACATTGAAAGGTTTATATGAAGTGATATGGTGCAATATATGATAGTCTTTCTAGTACTTAGATTTTCTGTGGCACATGTATGTGTACTGGCCCCAAATTTTGAAATTTGAACGCTTTCAGAATTCTGCAATGCAAACTGGTTTTGGTATTTTAAAAAGGACAAAATGTTGCTCTTGAACAGGGGTGGGGGACTTTTAAGAGCAGCGCTTAAGACCTGGTGAATTTTAAGCCAGTAATATCAAGCATCATTTTGCTAAATTACAGAGCAATCCAAAAAGCGACGAGAAAGGGTGGATGGAAGCTACAGGAACTGCCAAAAATCCTAAGCTCTACTGGGCTCATGCTGGCACAGAAGAAGGGAAAGAAGGATGCAATTTCTTTATTCTCCCCTTCCCTGCTTTGCTCCCCCCATTCTTCTTTAAGTTTTCCTTTCCATAGGTCTGTTTGCCAGCCCCGGGCCTGGCATATACCCTCCTTTTGCGCTCTACGTGGGGCTACCTTTGAAGGTGACCCGGAAACTGCAATTAATCCAGAATGCGGCAGCTAGACTGGTGACTGGGAGTGGCCGCCGGGACCACATAACACCGGTTCTGAGAGATCTGCATTGGCTCCCAGTACGTTTCTGAGCACAATTCAAAGTGTTGGTGCTGACCTTTAAAGCCCTAAATGGCCTCGGTCCAGTATACCTGAAGGAGCGTCTCCATCCCCATCGTTCAGCCCGGACACTGAGATCCAGCGCTGAGGGCCTTCTGGCGGTTCCCTCATTGCAAGAAGTAAGGTTACAGGGAACCAGGCAGAGGGCCTTCTCGGTAGTGGTGCCTGCCCTGTGGAACACCCTCCCAGGAGATGTCTCTGTTGGCAAACCTCCTTCACCTTCTGTGGAGATGAAGATGCATAGAGTCCACAAGAGCCAACTCCTAGCAGCAGAGGGGTCTTTGGGGGCCCCAATAAAATATTTGAGCCCCCCTCCGGTTGATTGGCATTGCCATTCAAATGGTGTACGTGCACCTCGTCATGTGATCACTTATATGGAGTGGAACTTACCACCGCTCCGCCCCCCCCATATTTTATTCAAGTTGGCACCCCGTCAGAATCCTATGATCCTATGAAGTCAGGGAGAAGCAAAATATTAAACAGCTCATATCTCCATGTGTACAGACAAAAGGGGGGGTGGAACACCCCAATGGGTTTTAAGATTCCTTTTTCCTGTGCATGTACAGTGGTGCCTCGCAAGACGAAATTAATTTGTTCCGCAAGTCTCTTCGTCTTGCGGTTTTTTCGTCTTGCGATGCACGGTTTCCCATAGGAATGCATTGAAAATCAATTAATGCGTTCCTAGGGAAACCGCCTTCAGACCAGGTCCGGGGACAGTCTGTCCCCCGACCTCTTCTGAAGGCTGGGGGGGGGGACAAGGGCTTTTCTTCCCACTGCCAGCCTTCAGAAGGCTGTTCTGAAGGCTGGCGGTGGGAAGAAAAGCCCTTCTTCCCACCTCCCGCCCCGCAAGCTCCGGGGACAGGAGGGCTTTGCTGCCGACCGCCAGCATTTTAAAAGCCCCTGCTGTCCCGGGGCGATTTTAAAATGCTGGCGGGCGGGAGCGAAGTCTCCGCTGCCCCGGGGAGATTTTAAAATGCTGGGGGTCGGCAGCGAACGCTTCGCTCCCGCCCGCAAGCATTTTAAGATCGCCCGGGGCAGCGGAGAAGTCTCCGCTGTCCCGGGAAGGCAGGCGGGGGGAGCAAAGACTTTTGCCCCCGCCTGCCTTCAGAAGAGGTCCAGGACCTCCTTCAGATGCCCGGTGGCGGGGTGAGAGGTTCCCGCCCCCCCGCCCCGCTTCGGAGCAGCGTTCCGAAGCGGGGCGGCTGGGGCAGGTGTTCCCGCCCCCCCGCCCCGCTTCGGAGCAGCGTTCCGAAGCTGGGCGGTGGGGGCAGGTGTTCCCTCCCCCCGCCCGGCTTCGGAGCACCGGGAGAAGCGATCTCCCCGCAGCTCCTTGCTTCAAAAGAGGTCCGGGGGCAGCGGGGAAGAAGCGCTGCGCTTCCCGCTGCCCCCGGACCTCTTTTGAAGCAAGGGGCTGCGGGGAGATCGCTTTTCCCCGCAAACCCTTGCTTCAAAAGAGGTCCGGGGGCAGCGCGAAGCGCTTCCCGCTGTCCCCAGACCTCTTTTGAAGCAAGGGGCGGTGGGGAGAAGCGATCTCCCCGCAGCCCCTTGCTTCAAAAGAGGTCCGGGGGCAGCGGGAAGCGCTTCCCGCTGTCCCCGGACCTGGGGCTGCGGGGAGAAGATCGCTTCTCCCCGCCGCCCCTTGCTTCAGAAGAGAAGACCCGCTGTCCCCTGGGCAAGCTTCGTTTTGCGAAGCAAGCCCATAGGGAAATTCGTCTTGCGAGGCAACTCGAAAACGAAAAAACCTTTCGTTTTGCGAGTTTTTCGTCTCGCGAGGTGTTCGTCTTGCGGGGTACCACTGGAGCTGTGTCTGTGTGGGGTAGATCACCCCATTATGGTTTTCTAAGGCATTGTTTAAAATTTAATGATTCCAGCTCTTGAATTCAGACAACGCAGTAATAGTTTATTAATGCTTGGGCCATGGGCCATTCACATGTCAGATAAATAGGTGTAATACAGGAACTGACAGTATAAAATACTGCATATGATCACATTGCTACCTAGAATCATATATAAAACCTACATCTTAAAAATACTACATAAATCACATGTAACTTGTATTATTAAAAGGGTGAAATTGAATACAGATAAGAAACATTAGTTATTAAAAGATATAATGGTTAAATAAGATCATCCCCAAAGCAGTTGACGGCAATCTCATTAATAACTCTTGCCTGGATTTTCCTTGCTGCTAGGGCAAAGAGAGAGACCTTGTGGGTTGTCCTACAATTGGTGTTCGACAGAAGGTAGAAAGCCGTTTCTGGAATGGTATTGGAATATAGATGAGGCAGAATAGATCCCAGAAATTTAGTTCTTGGTTCAGAGTAAAGTGAACAAAAGAACAAATAGTGAGGCAGATCCTCAGTTTCTGGGCTCCTGGAAATACAAAAGTGGAACACCAAGGAAGTATGAGAGTATCTGCTGCCAATCATAGTTGCAGGCATCATTTGGAAGCGAAGGGCTGTAAATACTGAATTCTAACAATAAGGAGGTTTTTGCCAAAATTTAGCTCTAAGGGATGTGTATTATGGCTTAATATATAGGTCTATCATTGCCCCTACTAAATCACCCGCACCAAAGCTACCTAGCAAATCACATTCTCCCATCCAGTGGGAAATAGATATAATTCTGAACTTAGCTAAACATTTGGACCAGTGGCGCTGTTGGAAACACATTTGTTCTTTCTCTCACAGGGTATACTTAATTGAAAAAAACATTATTTTAAGAAAGAATTTCTCATCTCTTGCTTAATTTGCAAGCATGGCTGATTCAGAAGTGTTCGTGGGTATTCCTGAGGCAGGAGCCAAAAGAAGCAAATGAACCAAAAAATAAATTACACTTTGAGAAATCTCTGTGCATAGAACATCAACCTTAGGGATAGGGTTTTTTGGAGGCATGCAAATGATAGTTCTGCATAAACATATGCACAGCACAGAATACCTGGTAGATTATTTTAAAGTAGCTACCTGACTGATGGTGGTTCAGAACTCTTATATCTGCAGGTTGGAAAAAACCCTACCCCCCCCCCCCGCTTATTTCTTTTATGCATCTCTCTCATGCATATTCAGTTTAAATTAGAGTTAAGGTTGAGCTGAATTTTCCTTCTAAACTTTTTAAAAAGTTTTTAAACTCTCAAGAAACATTGTTCCCCACATAAAATAAAGCCTGAATCTCAACATAAACATGACTTCTCTGGGCATGATCTCTCTCTCTCTCTCTCTCTCTCTCTCTCTCTCTTAAAAAAGTCCAGTTTTCAGCTAAGGTTGCCTAATTTCCCCATCAGCTTGCTAGTTTTTTTGTTTTAAAGAAAACAAGTCCTCACAGAAAATTGTCAGTGTCTTAATGTGCGTTTCTCCTAATGCACAATTTACCAGTATTGTATGTAATTCTTTCCAACACTCTCTTTGCAAGCAATTTGCCCTAACATTATAAACTTTTGTATGTTATGTTCACTAACATATACATTTTAAAGCACATTCTCCCCTACTGTATGCTTTGTAAAACAATTTATAATGATTTTAAGAATGAGATCATAATTTTTTTGTAGAACAACAACTGCAATCAGATGTTTATGAAACTTTTATTTAAAAGAACAACAACAACAAAAATCCCACATCCCAATCCCTATATAATTCCAAATCTGTAAATCCTGGTACAATATAAGATCATTATGTACAATGGAAAATGCATTTTTGCAGTTTATTGTATTGGATTGTACTACAATCAGCAGATACTATCGTGAGAAAAATATCAAAAGTATTAAAATCATTGAAAGATTATTTAAAATACCAAATTGTGTACTTCTAGAAAGGCAACTAAAGTATAATGCAATACAAACCATCATTTAATTGTAAAAACAATTTAAGCATTCCAAATTGCTGTATATTGGGGTGGGAACCTATATCATTATTCTTGTCCTATAGATATGCTATGAAATTTAACCAAACCCCTGTGAATTTATCAGGTGTTTTTTTTGTATAATTCTAGGTTTGTGAAATACCCCCCCCCCCCCCGATAACAGCTATATACCAAGATTTTTGATGCCAATGTTTTAAGGTTGCTCCTTGTAAGTTATTCCAAGTGATATGTAAAACCATTAAGAGATGTCCTGTTAAGTTCATTTCATTGAGTAGGATATCTGCATTTTGATTAAGGTTTAACAGAAGGAAGTGTGGGGAGCTGTCCACTGGTGGTTTTACAGTTTTCTGTATTTCATTTTTTTTAAAAATCAAGATTCCAAAATTTACACACATGTGCGCAGGTCCACCACCTATGATAGGATGTGTCAGGTAGGGCCAGCCCACCGATGAGACAAGGCAAGGTGACCTCAGGTGGTAGGATCCACAGGGGCAGCAGATCCAGCCTCCAATGAATGTGTCACCCAGTGCTGCTGCCCCAGTAGGAGCAACAGCTGCAACACATTCCTTGGGGGCTGTATATGCCACCTCCTTGGCAGCTCCCTCCCCCCAATACCCTCTAAAGTGGCCTATTGACAAATAGGAAGCACAGGGGGTCTCCTCCCACCCCAGGGAGGAAATGGGCAGGAGCTGCCCTCTGGGGTCTCCTGGGGTCTGCACTTGGCCAGTGTGATTCAGAACAGGTCTTGATTTCCCTTCCACTGTTGGGTAAGGTTGATTTGATTCTCTCCCTTGTTTCCAAAGTAGATCTTTATTCCTCCATGGGAGGAGGTGGGGAGACATCATTCTGTGGTTCGCCTCAGGTGACAAAATGTTTTGGGACAGCCCTAGTGGCAGGATCTGTACAGCCACTTGAGCACCTCAGATATAATTCAGCATTCATCCCAGACAATTGATCTGGAATTATGTAACACCGATGGGCAAGTTTTAACTTAGACTCTTTAATCTGCTTAGAATCCCTACTAATTATCAGTCTATTCCAATGTATTTTCTG